ACATTCTAGAGCCGCCACTGTATATAGGGCTAACAAAATCTATAAGATTTTACATGCCTATCATTGTGTTTGAAAAAAGTGGAGGATATGCATCTTTTTAACCATTTTATAATAAATACGTAAGAGTCAATGAGATTTCTAGTTCGTTGACAATGTTGTTGTATAGGCAAGATATACAGACAGCATACGTTTCCGCTTACGTTTCTTATGAAAAGTTGACTTGGAGTCAACTTTTCATAAGAATCGTTTGCAACGCAACGTATGCAAGTTCATTCAACAAAAAGTCACTAAATCGCGGTTTCCTGTCAAATAGTGGAAAATCGACGTATCACATGAAAATTCAATACGTCGGTTTCCTGTCCAAAACTGTTTTGAGACGATTTTAGTTTACGTTACGTCGATTTCACAACGCACCAGTCGTAATCGGTTTCCTGTCAAATCGCATTTTCTTACGATAAAAGGACGTAATCGTAAGTAAATCTGCCTTCTTACGTCGACAGGAAACCAGGCTTTACTTTGCAAGCACATCTAACATCTAAGGAAAGAAGAGCTTAGATTGGTACCAGATAAAATAATTTTGTTATCAACATTAATAAATTGTGCTAATTTTCATCTTTGTAAGCGCATAAGACAGTGCAAATTATTTCTGTGACAGTCTTTAAGTGTGTAAAACTCCATTTTATCCCATACATAGTCAAAATATTAGGGGGATGATACAATGGACCATCCCCCCCTTGTCAAATATTGGGGGGATATATCCCTCCATCCTCCCGGGATCTACGCCTATGCCAAAAACATTGCAATTTCTGCACATGTATGCATTCTTTTTTCTGGCCCCTTACTGTCCAATCTGTTGGTAGGCAATGTGCGGCAGCAGGCCACATAGTATGGCCCAATATAATTATGTTGCGTCCCAGGACAACCCTTACAATCTGTAACCCTCAAATTGCAGCACCCCTGTCTCTTATACACATCTAGATGTGTATAAGAGACAGTGTGTGGCCTACATTATAAATATGATAAGCCCTACCGTATGTCGTATTGTTTTCTACATGGGGAGTGGGGTGGGGTAGGTATGGTAAATTACTAACCGGGAAAATAACTACCGTACCCAATCTGACCTAAGACCCCTGTTACGCGCCTGGTGTTAGCGCCAATGTGTGCCCTTGTGTGGACAGGGGATGTGCCCCCCTCTGAAGCTGGAATTCTTGTTTTTGCAAAATAAATTGATGCAA